GTGTGTGTGTGTGTGTGTGTGTATAATATATATATATATATATATATATATATATAATTTGATAAAATATGTATTTTAAAAAAAACACAAAAAAAAAACATACAAGATGCATACATAAGCCAAAGTGTCTCTTCAAAGTCCAAGATTCCATAACATACTGATATATTTATAAAATTGTTAACAGGATTTTTAAATAAAATATGAAGTTGTAGGTTATACATAAGCCAAAGTATCTCCACAACAAAGTGATATATATTAGTAAACAAACAAATAAATAAAAAAAATTATATAAAAATATTTGAAAATACACTTTGTATATGTATTCATCTTATGCACCTTCTTTGTCTAATGTTTTCTATCTTTGGTTGTGTCATTCTGTGTTACAGTACCTTGTTGGTGCTCTTTTTGGCTTCATTATCAAAGGACTTTGAAATCCAATTAACCCGCTAACCAAACAGCTCCAAGTCATTTGGTCACCTTGTCTCATTTAATTCAACTAGCAGCTTTATCTATAGTTTTTTTTTCTTTGACCTTCAGATGAACTTCAACCTCTTTAGTTATACAAACAAACACTTGGAGTGACCTAAATGAGTCAAGAGATATATTTTAGACATCTTACAAGCTGCAATGAGCAACCAATACATCTCACAGTACAACGGCTGCATGACAGCTTAATTACTAGATATACAACCAAGAATGGCAGGATTTAATTAAATCAAATGTGTTTTTGTGCTCTGGTTTTATACAGACATGAACTGGCTTTTCCATGACGCTAAATGTTTGTGAGATTGCATTAACACAATCTCTGCTATCTGAGAAAATTATGTAATTATGATCACGAATACTTTACAAGACTATCGTGTCAGCAGAATAGACTTAAAAACTACATTATTCTAAACTGCTGTGTCAAAGCACAGTAACCGTATATTTTGTCAAAATTTAGTTTTAAGCCAAATCAAGTCAATCCTATGACAAATGGGTTTGGCTTTGCTTTGCTCATATTCTCAGAGTGTGAAAATTGATATAAGATCAATCATAATTCAATCAAAAACTTTTCTCTTTAGTTGGTGTCTTTGTGATTTGGCTCTGTAGAGCAGTATAAACGCTGGTGGGCATGGCTCAAGGTCTTTGTGAGGGATGTAGACTTGTGAGACTTGGATAATGTCCAAAGTACACCAACTGAGCATGATGAGCAAGACGTGGATGAGAATGAATATTCTGAATTAGTGCATAGGCCAGCTGATATATGCACAATGGAAAAAGAAGAGAAATAAAAATCTGTAAAAACTGTACATTACCATATACAGAAAAAATAATAACTCTATATTGAACAAGACATTACAGTACAGATAACTTTACAGTAAAAAAGTTTAAAAATCATATTGATAGAGAAGCTCTAAAATATTAGTGCATCAGCAGGCCATTAAATACTTATTGATTTTACCCACTTAGTCCACTCGTAAAAATAGTTATAACTATTAGCATCTCACTAATGCCCTCCTGCTAATGAATAAATTATGAATTTGAGAGTATTTGCATTTTTTCATGGTTTGGCTTCACGGAATTGACTCAAGTTGAACATTACTGAAAAAATTAAGAACAGGTTTTGTGTATTGACATGTCATACTGTATTTTTAACTGTGAGAATATTGAGCGATATTTAAAGGCACAGTAAACAAACAAACAAATAAATGGTAACACTTTACTTAAAGGTCCCCTGAAATGCTTAGAAACACGCAGCGTTACTCTATGTGTTGAAGTCATTTTAACTGAAACAGGAAGACAGGGCGGAACATATCAAGCAGCCCCGCCCCTTTTTAAAATAGCCAATAGCGTTCGTTTATATCACAGCTTGGGCTAGAGCCGTTCAGAGCCGTTGAGCTCCGTAAAGCTGCATTTGACAGGGTATGCCAGCCACAATCTCATCCATATTGCTATAAAATATAGCATTCTGTGTAGAATTCAAATAGCTCCGATACATTTTGTGGTCTGCACTGACTCGCGCATGTGATCCGCTCCGTGCTATCGTATCTCTGGACCGGAGCAGAGCGTGTGGGCGGTGCGGTGGTTAGCGTGACAGCGCGAAACCAGACTTCTTTTTTTACTTTACTTTACTTTTACTTTTAGTCATTTAGCAGACGCTTTTATCCAAAGCGACTT